TGATACAATGATACTGTCATAAGGAAAATCTAGACACCCCGTGTTCAATTTGAGTAGAATATTCTGTAACCATGGAAAAATGATTTTTTTAGCTGTATTTTAAAAAATTGGAACTGGTAAATTTTAAAAATTACTTTATAAAAATTCGCATTGAGCACTGAAAATGAAATATCTATAAGAACTAATGCTTTTAATTTATTTGCAAAAAATAAAATTAATATATAGTTTTTAGCTTCTATTTTTGAAACATGGTTGGAAATGATAAAATTGCTATTTAATAAAAAATAATAAAATATAATCAATTATTTATATATATATATATATATATATATATAGATAGATAGAAATATAATTAATAATGATTTGAAACAAATATTGCTTTTTTGTAAAAAATTAAAAAATATCTATCTGGGTCTGAAATATAATTAATCTGATTTGAAACAAATATTTTTTTACACAGAAATGGAGGTAGGTGTTTTTATTATGAGGTGTTGAAAACTTTAATGACAACTGGAAATTTAATATTTTCTACAGGAAACATAACTGTAAAAATTACTTGAGGAATATAAAAAGAACATTTGTTTTATATATTTTTTTTAACTACCCAGTAATCTTAAAAATTTAGGAAAATATTCTAAGTAATTTAATGTTTTATTCAATTTTAGGTACTTTGGCTTTAAATTTACTATAGTTATCACTCTTAGTTTTTGATAATATCATGTATGAATGTCCATATCTGCACATTTATAAAAAAAAATATTCAAAATACTTTTCAAAATACTGGGGGAGAGTGTCTTACTGAATTGTAATAAGTTTTTCCATTTATCATTAGTAAATATAGTTTTTACTTAATAACAATATCACATAACCAAGTCAAACCAATACAGAAACTTAAAAGATTTAAAACTTTGTAAATTATTCTAATTAAAATTTTAAAAAATGAAAATGCTTCTTGTAAAAATTCATTATTCATCAAAAAAAAAAAAAATTTTTTTCTTGAGACAATCGTGTCCATAACATACCTTATTCATAAAAGCTTTCTAATTAAATAATGTCTTAGTTTTATTGCATTTTTAAGAGCAAATTTTTGTTAACTGGTGGTAGTGTTTTACAAAAATAAATTAAATGTAATTATCCAAGGACTAGATAGAACTAATATAAATGACCAAAAAAAGAATTTCATAAATCTGTTTCATAATGGTGCTATGACCAGCTAAGACCAATTTTGACCAGTGTCCCAAGTGGAGACACTTGGCTCACCATGTTAAAACAAAATGACCTTGTGTCACAACCTTACTCAGTGAAGAGTCAAAGGTAAATACCTCAGAGGAGAGGTTTTCTCTCTATGCTATACAGTGACCCTGCTTACATAGTTGATGCACTTTTATCTAGAGTGAGAGATTTGGGTTGTTAAGTGATCCTGTTCTTCAGAACAGTATGATGCTGTCTTCCCATATCGTCAATAGGAATCTTTAAGATTCCTTCTGTTTTTTTTTGTTTTTTTGTTTTTTTTGCTGGGTTACTGTAGAATTCACTGACTTTAGTCCCTACTAGTATGTTGCTGCGTGATCCTGAGCAACAGTCAACCCTCATGAGGTCCTGCTGTATCAGTTGAATCTATATGTGGCCCACAGTTTGACTGGTTATGGGTACAATCTATTGTCCTAGTGGATGTTCTAACCTGTGCTTTGAGAATCCTTTTCAGAATTAAGACTGTCTTTTCCCTGATTACATGGTATGCAATTACCATTTTTCCTTTTAAGGAAAAACTTGTTTTCTTCCCCCTTGACTCCATGGACCATCGCACGGCCTCTCATTCTGGTATCTCCAGCACTTGTAAATTGTACCTGCACTCACACCACACAACTTCCTGGTTTGTCCCAAAATATAAACTTTTTCTCCAATCTACTTTGAACATTTCTCATAACTAGATTTTGAGTTCTGAATCACTGTTTTTCATCTGTTTTCTACAGAACTCTTTTCAACATAAATAATTTGCATTTCCTTTCCTGGATTTATATTATTATTTGACAAGAACAAATTTTGGCATATTTTATTTTAATTCCTCGTTTTTGTTGTTCCTGCCTTTGACCTTTCAGATCATTAAGTTTTATTTTTAAATTGTTAGCTGGTACGTCTCGTGTTACCACTACAAATCTTGGTGACTCTGATAAGATCTGACCAGGCTAGGCAGAATGGCCACTGATGACTCAAACAAGGCTTCTATCAGCTTGGAAACTCCCATGGCACCTTTACCATACTTCAATCAATATCAAGAATTGGTTTTTGCAACTTGAGGTGATTTTCTTTCTACGAAAGATTACATCTCAAAAATCTAAATTTGCATATCTAGTGTCAGTATGACCCCATTCTAGCAGACATTTTAGAGGCCATCCCAGAGCATGAGCCTTATTCTAGCCTTAAAGAAGCAATTCTTAAACATACTGGCCACATTGATGAGAACTTGATTCATGAGCTCTTTAAAAATGTCACTAGAGATGATCAAACACCATGTCAACTCTTACGATTCATGAGAAGTCATCTTGGAAAGCATGCTATGGCCAAACCAATTCTTTGGTGTTTGTGGAGATTGTCTGCTTCCTACTGTTACACAGATTCTTGACCTGATGTCCAAAAACACACAGCTGACACAATTGGCCAATTTGTCCAACCTTATATTTACACAAATCAACCACAAAGTAAATTCATTCTATGAAAATGAGGAATACCAAGACAACTCCAGATGCCTGGAGGAGGCAGTGGCCAACCTACAACATCAGATAAGAGAATTAACATTATCTCTACACTGTAGGTCTAGGAGCAAATAACCTTTTTGCCTGACATAATTTAGGTTGACAACGTCATTCTAGCTGGGATCGGCAAGTCAATTCAGATGTATGCCGGTACCACTTTACTTTTGGGTCCAGGGCCAAACACTGCAAACCTCTCTGTATATATAAACCCGCTCAGGGAAATGAGCAAGTAGGAGCAACAGACCTTGCTGGTAAAGATAAATCTTGTTGCCTCTTCTATGTTTGGGACAACAATAAGTTAAAATTTCTTGTTGCTACCAGTGCGGCAATTAGTGTAACACTGTCACCAATAAACTCTCTGCTAAGCCCAGCATTTTTAAACTCTAGGCAGCTAATGGCTGAACTATCGATATGTACAGAAGCAAATCCGTCATGTTAAATATAGGCATGAGTCATGACACTACACTTGGTCGTTCACCATGGAAAATGAAAAAAATGCATATTATTGGTGCAAACTTTCTTGTGCATTTGGCAGTCCACATGTAGACAAGATCCCTTTCAGACAACACCACTAATATACATGTTGTAGGGACCCTTACTCATCATAATACCACAGAGATCAGTGTGGCAACTTGTCATAGTCGAGAATACCTCGACATCCTAAATCCGTACAAGGACTTACTACAGCCAATTAAGAGTATTGATTCAGGTAGGCACCAGACACAACATTACATTGAAATGTCTGGTCAGCCAGCACACTCCCATCCTCAATGACTGCCACCACATAAATTACAGTTTGCTAAGAAAGCTGTTGTAACCAGAAAAGGTTACTGAATGAGGAATAACCAAAATGGAGGTTGGAAATGAAATGGTAATCTTTATAACATCAACAAAATACAATACTCACCAGTGGCGTGAAGTAGGTAAACCGCTGCTAGTGGTGGACTACGTAGACAGCAGATTACTCACACTTACAATAGTGTCTAACGTATTTATGAGGATTGGGACATACCCATTAGTGTTCATAGGTATGGTATATAACAAAAGCATTTGACAAGATGTTGCATGATGGCATCATCCATCCTTCAGATAGCCCATACGCTACACCACTCCACTTAGTGCCTAAACCAGGTGGCTCAGACTTGAATTTGCATGGACTACAGGAAGCTAAACTCCTCAACCATTCCTAATCACTATCCTGTCCCATATATTCACAATTTCGCATCTGGATTATAGGGTCATACCATTTTCTCAAAAAAATGACCTAACAAAGGCTTAATATCAAGTCCCTGTTGCATTGGAAGACATCCCAAAAATGGCACTCACAACACCTTTCAAGTTATACAAGTTTGTAAAAATGTCATTCAGTTTGTGTAATGCAACCCAAACCTTTCAGAGTCTAATGGATGAAGTATTGCATGTCCTACCTTTTGTGTTCACATAAACAACACCTACAGGAGGTTCTGCAGAGATTATCACATTATGGTTTCAGACTGAATCTGGATGAATGTGTTTTCAGTTGATTTTTCACACTGATGCTACTGGGATCACCCCATTACCCAAGAAGGTTAACTCCTTTAATAATTTTCCAGTACCTGTGTGTATTAGGCAGTTGCACCATTTCATAGGAATGGTCAATTTCTATCAATGATTCATTCCCAACTGTTTATCTATTTTAACTCCTTTGACAAACCTCCTCCTTCAGAGGAAGAATAAGAGTATTTACTTGGAGGACAATCCTCTGCATGCATTTCACACAGCTGTTATTTATTGAAAAAAATCCACAAAAAGTGATATGCCTGACTATGGATTCTTTGGAATCATGAGTTGGTGCACAGGAATTAAATTCTTGAACAAGAATTAAATTCTTGAACAAGAATTAAATTCTCAACGTAAACCTATCATGTTTTTCTCTGCAAAACTTTCCCCAGCTCAGTTACGATATAGTACTTTCTCTCATGAGTTATTAGTCATTTATTTAGCCATCAAGCATTTTCAACAATTGTTGGAAGGTCAGTTTTTCACAGACCAAACATGCAACATACATACTGCCGACAACACAATGCATTTTATTGAGTGGTAAATATTAATTATGTAGGTTGAATATTATACAATCAAACTTTGCATCCCTTTAAAATAAAACATTAGTTATCAATTTACTACAAAGTTATAATCTATTTAGTACATACAGGTATCAATAGGTCATTATAAATATTTTTAAAGAGAAAAAGACATGCAGCAGCTTACTTGATAGTGTAAACACTGGTATTCAAACATCTATTACCCAAACCACACCGAGAGAGAAGAATTTCTTCAAATTTCTGTGTAATATTGTTGTAAGGATTATCATTGCTGAAATGGATAAGCATTTATTTAAATATAAAGCTTAGAATAGTTCTGTTATGAAAAATATAATGATATCAAAATGAAAAGCATTGCTAAGGTTTTTTTTATCGATTTCCTGATTGTTGTTATTTTTCTCTGAAATCTGGTAATATTACTACAACCTTTTCATTAAAATTCACAAGGGTATATTTTTAAATCACTCACTCTTAAATTGTGCCTTGATTATATATAGAAAGCTAGATATTGAATACACTCTGTCCAAATATTTATGCAAAAATAAGGCAAAATTTTAAATAAACTGAAATATAATTTAATATTATTAATAATATTTGCAACTTTTTATTACTGAGTCTTTAATTTGCCATACTTCTAAAACAGATCTGTCAAAAAAAGCCAAACCTGTAAAAGGTGTAGAGATGGCGATCATTTTCTCGAGGCACATAGTGCCAAGGATGGAGTTCTAATGGCGGTTCAGAGTCATATGAAGGATAAATTAAGGCAATCGTCATAGCAAGTAATATAAATGCAGCTGGAAGAATGATCTGGAAAATTTAAAATAAAATACTGTCACTATTTTTATCAAAATACTTAACATTTTTTTTAACAAATTTTTACTAGGTATTTATCATAGTTTTAAATATACAGTATATTCATGGAAATACATATGTGAATTTCTGGTTACACAACAGATGACTTAAACAAGATAAGGTAGATTACTCACTTGGCTGTTGTTTGTTGTAGTCTTCAAGTATAATTAAGGCATACTTTTAAGTGATTTTGAATTAATAAAAAAGGCTTTCATATACCGATAACAAAATTAATTTTTTTCCAATTTCCAAATTAGTAAAAGGAATGAAAATCTTATCTGATTATTTCATTACTTTCATTAGTTATATTTCTCTTAATTTTTGTCTTGATGCTTAACTGAATTAATAGGATCTTTCTTGTATATAGCATGCCTTTAGAAGAAACCAAGTAAAAAATTTCAAACAACAATCAAAATATAAATACCCAAAAACATTTACCTCACAAAGAAATCCTTTTTTGTTTCTTCGCTGATGATGAAATCTTTTAATAATAAGTGCAAGAAACTGGTGCAAAGTTAATCTCCAGCCAACTAGTTTGTAAGAAGCTTCACCTTGAAATACATCCTGATTTTGTCCTAACGGTTGATCTAGAAAAGAGATAAGCTTAAAAAATATCACTCTTGCATAATGTTTTTTTAGTTGAATATATTGTCAAATATTATTTGAAGAAAAGCATTCATTCTTTCAGTGAATAATGAAACATTTATAAAACAGAGAAAGTTAGTTAATTTCTATAATGTTGCTACAAATAATTAAATAGCTAAAATTTTATTTTACAAGCAAGAAGCAAAAAATCCGTTTATCAAAATAATATAATTTGTTTTTTTTTCTATTGCAATCAGTTCAAAATTTCATTTCTAATAATTACAATGAAAAAGAAAAAGCAATTAAAATAATTCTTACCCAACTTCACTTTATCATCATCAGCAAATGAGAAAAATGAATTTCTGTTTTTACGGAAGCTTAATCGACTCAGTGGACGAGGTAACCGGCCTTCTATAATTCAACATTAAAATCAAAAGTAATTAGAAATTTTTATTATTCAAGGAATGGCTATTTGGAATGAAGATATGGAAAACATTTTAATATCATAAAACAAAAAAGGCAATTCCTTGTATTTTAATTTCTTTAATCTACATCACTTTAAAAATTTTAGACAACACGCAGTTTTAATATTATTTAATTTGTCTAAGGTAAAATATAAAAAATACAATTGATTTACAATCAACTAATTAAATAACCTTGTTGAATAAATATTTCAATAAAAATAATTTATCAGGTTTTTTTCAAATATTATTGTTTGAGAAAGCTTTTTCATCTTAATGTTCAAATTACTTGAATCAAATTTAAGAGCCAAAAATAATGAAAATTTTCTTGAAATGCAATTTTTTATCCATATTTATTATTTAACCATGATGGTAACAACACAATCCTATAAATAATCAAACCATGGTGATGAATTCTAGCTATTTGCTCTATTTATCTTTCAATCCATAATGGTTGATGTTGAACTCTAAAATTCCCTAGATTCATGATAAAAAAAATAGCCCAGTAGTGGGAGTTCTCTTGTCAAAATATATTTTGCACTTGATCAAGTAAGGCTGAACAGAAATGCATTGCAATGTACATATTTTATGAAAGTCAAAGAAAACTGACAACAATGCCTGTAACTTTAAAGTTGTAATAAGCAAGTTAAATACATAAAAACAAATCAATTGCATTCTACTTACTTTCATAATTTTCCTCTAATTTTTTTCTGGTAAATTCATCATTGTTGTCCAGACATTCATCTGTAACTCTTAGGAAAACCTAAGAAGCCAAAGCCATTATTTTTTCACTCTTGGTTTGCAACAATGATATATTTCATTCAGTTTATAAATATACAAACAATTTTTGTGAAAAAGAGAATGAGTATGTTTATACTTCCATATGAAAATGAATAAATGTTAAAATGCTCAGAAGAGGAAAACTCAGACCTAATTAAGTTACTCTCTGCATAAAATATTTGTAAAATCATTTATAATCACACAGTAAATAATATCCACAAGAAATATGAATAACATAAAATAAAATAAAAAATCTTTGTTTTGAAGAATTGTTATTTGCTTCTGACACTGAACCTGAATAAATGACTTTCCATGCAACCCAATCTAATATAGAGATTTAAATATCATCTAGGAATCTTTGATTAAGAAAGGACACTCAAAAATTTCAACACATGAATACAAATATTAGGTTTAAGTTGGTATCCAAAAATAAAATTTTAATTTTCAATATATCTAAGAAATTTTAATACAGGTATAGAGAGTTTAACAAAACATAAAAAAATGGTACCAAATTTATCTTGGTATCTCAGTTAGTAACATTATGACCATTCAAAGTTTGTCAGTTTTCTATTTCATGTGCTATTGGGCCAGAAGTTAATGTTGTATATAACTGAAGATGCTCGCTTCAGAATAGATACAAATCAGTATGTCATATAGGTAGACTTGAAATAAAAGAAAGATAATACTAATGAAATTAATAATTATTAGATCCGACCAGCCTAAACATTGAGAAAAACTGTGTTATCAAAAACAAAATAGTTAAAACATGACACACGGCAATTTTAACTGAATATATAAGTTTCATTCAACACTTAATACCTTGCAACTTCTTGCTACATTTCATAGTACAACAGAGATGAAGCCAAATCTTTTTCAGTAGTACATCAACAGCCAGAAGTGTAATTTAGGGTAAAAACAGGTCAAAAGTATACAATATTGAACTTGCCAGAAAATAGTATTCATTGAAAGTACAACTTTACTAATTTTGGGATGAGAATTTCAATAAAATAGTTATTTTCTCTGTAATATGAATACTTTTTGTCATAGATATATCTAATTTTTTAAAATTTTGTGAAATTATACAATTTTTAACTTATCAAAAATGGACAGTAATGACTGCAAAACTTTGAAATTTGTTTCATGAATGAATGATTGGCTAACCTTTCAAACAAATGCTTATTAAAAAACCTTAAACTTATTTATCTTCAAAAAAAAAATAATAAAAACTCAAATGAATAAAAATACATTTATTGGCATGGGCCCTGTTTAATTGTATGAAATTGCAGGACGGTGATTTGGAAACACTATTATTTGGATAATTATTAAAATTCTCAAGAGAATAGGATGAATGGTCAAGAAAAAAAGAGTTAAAATTTCTGTTTTAAAATAATAAAATGAATTTAAGAACAGTTCCAAGGAGAATTAAACACAGAATTAAATTAACCAAGATACAGTAAAATCAAGCACAACAAAGATTCCCCACCGAATCCACTTCCTGCTAAGAAGATAAGATTAAAGTTTTGTTCAAATTTCTCTAGTCCTGAGAAATTAAATTCGGGGATTTGTTTATATTATAATGCCCAAAACATGTGTCTTCATACAAATTATGCTAGACAAAAAATTTTTTTAAATTTTGTTTAATACCCAATCTTTGGGATTTGTTTGATACAAACTTTCTGTAATGATAATGATGTTTTGGGGGCAGATACTGCCCCCAAAACATCATTATCATTACAGAAAGTTATCTAGGAAGATTCTAAACAAAGAGAATACCATGTTTTTCTTAACAAAATCTCCTAAGATTAAGATGGTCAGGGTGAAGAAATTAGATATATCAATGTCAAATTTGGGGGTGGGCAGTCATCTATATAAATGAGGACTCTCCAGGTCTAGAGACATATGGAAAATTGGTCAACAAGGAGTTGTCAGACATCAGCTACCTCATGAGAAACACCCTTCCATTTTCAGTGTCTGGAGCAAACACAGACACACAATCTAACAAGCAATTGTTTCTACTATTACAGCTAAATTACCAAGTCACCATCTAGCAAGTATAGAGCTTAGTCTTTCAGTAGATAATAGAAACATTTTAGTCACCAGTTTTTCTTTATATTCAATAAAACTGTCATTAGAGTTATCAACAGTATTGTGCATTTTATTGAAGTTCTTATTCCAGAGCTGCCTTTGGATACAAATAGACAAAAAATTACGACAGCCATAAGTTGAGAATTATTCCTTTGTAACTACAGTACACAACATACATAGAGGGGTCCATCTATCCCAATATCGCAAGATTTGGGGAAGCCTGAATCAACTCTGTCAAGATGACACGCTGGTCTCAAATGAGGAAAGAAAAGAAAGCCAGATGACTTGTAAAATCAGTATTACTCAACAAAGCTAGTGGAACTAGTGAGAGGAAGAAGAGGAGTGAGGAAGCTGAGAGAGAATGGAGTGTATGGAGAGGGTGTAGGGGTTACATTGGAACTGGTGAAAAAGACTTTCTAAACAATTGATATGATTCGCCTGCATTTCCTTTTCTAATGGCAATTTGCAGTCTGAATTTATTTATAAGTCTCTGTGACACTATGTGACACTGGCAAATGGAAAGAAAGGGTTAAATTAAAAGCATAACTTGGAATAAGACAAGAAGGGTTAAAGAATAGAATGATGGATAGACTGAGAGAGAGAAGCAAGATTTCTTTCTCTTCAAAAAGCCTAATTTTCTTAGGGCAGAAAACAACCCAGAGAAAAGTGATTCTGTTACAAGGAGCCATATGGCAATATTTAACTGACAGCTGATAAATGATACAGCTTAAAGAGCACCGGTTATAAAAACACAAAACGAGAGATAAAATTTGGTAATCTCTATAACCAAATCAAGGGAATAGAGTTTCTTTGTGTAAGGACCCAAAGCCTAGGGTACTTGGAGTGCAATGATCCTGGCAAGATGGGGGTGGGTGACTGACAGGAGAAAGCAGCTGGTAAATTTCTAATTTTAAGAGAAAGGCTAGGATTTTCTGATGAGAAATTAAAATGATATCTTGACCATGAACTAAACCATGCCACATGGTTGAGAACCACATTGGTTGAAAGACAACAAAAGTGATAAATGTAGGTAAAATACCAAGGAAGACAATACCCAATGAAAAGTGTTAGTGCAAGGCACAAATAAGAGAAGGAAGGATTTGGGTGAATCGATATCCTGTGACTGCTACCCATCGGAAAAGAGATCTCTCTAAATTTGGAGGAATAATTAATTGTCCAAAGCCAGACAACAAAAAGGCCATTGTCATAAGATAGGAGAAACACTGAGACCTCTAACCTTATCAACCCTCATGCCAGTTTTGGGTTGAACTCAATATAAGTAGAAGATTGAAGCAGCCTCAAGCCTTGTTCCAGACTTAACTAAGTTGAGCATCATGTCACAATAACACACAAAGTAGACAGGGTTAATGTTTTGTACCCAGAACCAATTTATTGTATAAAAACAATATTTAAATTTTCATAGAACTAGACTCTGAAGAACTCATTATTTCTTTATCTGCAAGGACATTTTTTGGTTAAATTCTTTTGTGACATAGATTCACCTGGAACAGACGAATGCCACATTTGCTGATGACAATTTGATCTTTGCCAGCTCTGTGATCAAACACAGCATGAGCAGAACAATAGTTTAGACCAGAGTGACCAACCCAATGGCCAGCATCAACATTTGACCAAAATCCAACTGCCAGACAATATTCTTAGAACATGACCTATCCCGTAGGTACCACCACTTTTTTGCTGAAAAAAAAAAAAAATAAACAGCATAGCATGATGAAAAAAGGCTCCAAACTTAATAAAAACAAAGTTTTATCATAACAATCTTTATGTTATTATTAAGAAGAAAGACCAAAGTATTTTTTTAATATTTTATTAAATTTTTTTAATACTTTTTACCATGTTCGAAATTTTGGTTAAAAATCTTGTTTTTTGCATTAGCAGTTGACATAATATTTACAATTAGTGTGTTAGCACCTTTTTTCAGGTTTCATTGATTTGGAAATTCTTGAAAAAAAAATCAAATAATTGTTGGATTTTAATGAAACTTTCAAGATTTATTCACAAATGAATGAAATTATTTAAAAAAATTTTTTTTTTAAGAAAATTTTGGTTAAAATTTTTTTTTTTTACATATATTACCCCCTTGGAGAATATAAATCATCAACTTTTTTTTCCAAACTACTACTCATTTCCCAAAAATCTGCTCCAAATCGTAAAATAAAAAATGCAATAAGACCATGACATTATTTAATTAAAAACGCTTTTAATTGCTTTTATAAATAAGATTTAAGGACACTATTATCTTAAGTAAAAAAATTTTTTCACCGAATAATGAATTTTTAGAAGAATTGTTTTCATTTTTTTATTTTAATTATAATAATTTATAATATATAAATCTTTTAAAATTCTGCATTACTTTCAAGTGATTAGGTGATATTGTTAAATGAAAACTATATTTAGGAACAAAAAATTGAATAGCTTAATACAAATTATTTTGCACTTAAATTTTTAAAATAATTAAAAATTTTTTTTATGTACATAAAATACATAATGTGCCCATATTTGATAGAATGGTCAATCATACACAACATTATCAGAAAATAAGAGTGATGACTATAGCAAATTTAAAGTCAACATTCCTAAAATTAGATTACAGAGAATGTTTTCCTGGATTTTTAAGATTACTGAGTACTTAAAAATTATATAAAAAAGGGCTCACCTGCCATTTTTTAAATTGTTTTAACAGATAAAGTCTCCATAGAACAACAATAAATCCATCAACACCTTTATCAGCACTTGGTGTGTGATTGAAGAACAGTGACAAGTATGTAATCACAACTATTGTTTGTTTTAAAAATCCATTTTTCCGTTATTTTAAACTTAAATAATATTTTTTTCAAATCAGATTAATTATACTTTAATTCAGCTAACATTCCTCAA